AAACTGTGAACAAAGGTCATCAATGAGAAATAAAAAGCACAAAGCAGAATCGGGAGGCCACTAATTTCAGTTCTGGGGGAAGGAGCCACGTAGGGAGGAGCTATGGGTTATGAGGCTCAAGGGCAGCCTGGGGCCATATTTTTGCCAGCCTTGAAGGTCAGAGGAGAGCCCGAGACTAATTCAGGCTCCCTAACACTGAAGCAGGTGACTGGTTGGACCCTAGCTCTCTCCCAAACATCTCTTCCCTGATGGAGGAACTTTCAGGATATCCATTTTACTTTACTCTTACTTTCTAAAAACGCCCATTCACAAAGTGACCTATAAGGGTTTAAGGCTGCTTAAATCCCGCTGAAGCAGCATACGTTTGAAATGTGGTATGAAAGACCAGCCCTCACATTTGGGATCTACAAATCCATCCTCTAAAGAGCAACTGCAACTGAACAGCCAGCAGGAATTATTCAGCCTTTGGCCATGCCTGGATTATTCCAGGACCAAGAACATCATTCATTATTGGGCCCTTCTAGGGGAATGATATATCCTGTCAGACAGCAGCTTTTAAAATACAGTATAATATTTGGGTGGAAATGGAAGATAACTTGACAAGATAAATCAAAAGCCTTAAATATGATTCTTCCTATGATTCTTCCAACGACCATCTAAGGAAAAAATACAAAGAGTAGATAAAACTTATGCACCAAAATGTTCAGTGAATTGAATGTATAATAATAAGAAATCTAATTTCCCAACCACATGTGGTGGCACATGACTGCAATCCCAGAACTCTAGGAGGCTGAAGCAGGAGGACTGCAAGTTAAGACTCCAATCTAGATAACTTAGCAAGATCCTGTATCAAACCAAATCAAACTTAAAAAAAGGCTGGGAATGTAGCTCAGTGTGAAGGCCCTGGGCTCAATCCCCAGTGAGATGGGGAGAAAAGAAAAATAGAAAAATTTCAAAATAATGGTACAGGTTAGTCATGGTATGGCTATGTGATGAAATAATAGGCATTCATTAAATATTATTTTTATATGTTTTTAAATGACATGGAAATAAGACTGTGTTCTAATATTAAATCAGAAAAGGGAACACAAAATATACATCTCATAAAACAGCTATATAAATAAAACAATGCATTTTAATAAAAATTTTATTTTATTTTAATTTTTTGTCTTTTTGAGACAGAGTTTCACTATGCAGTTCAGGCTGGCTTTGAACTCACTATGTAGCCCAGGATGGCCTCAAACTTGAAGCGATCCTCCTGCCTCAGCCTCCCAAGTGCTGGTATTACAGGTGTGCACCACCATGCTCAGCTTTAATAAAAAACTTAAAACTATATATATGTACCAACACTAACATGGTTGACTCTGGGTTATAGAACTATGAATTTTCTGTAGTTACTTTGTCATTCTCTATGCTTACCAAACATTCAGCTATGAGTACACTCTTGATAACCAGAATGAGAAAGTAAAAATTGGAAATAAAAATGTTCATCCTCAGGTAGCAAGGTTATAGGGGACCTTTATTTTTATGCTTTTCTGACTTTGTTTTTGATTAGTCACAAAACAGCGTTATATTGATTTGTTATTTGTTTGGTAGCAGGGATTAAACCCAGAGTCTTGTACATGAAGGTCAAGTGCTCTACTACTGAGCTATGTCCCCCGGTCCAAGTTGTTATTTCTAATAGCAATATATCATAATTAGAGACAAGCTGTGGCACCTGTCCCAGTTCTAATTCCAAACTTCTAAGCAGTCTCACAAGGAGAGGAGTAGCCCTGACAGAGATAAATGGACAGAAGTCAGAAGTCTGTTGGCCACTGCTTCATTCGGCACTAGGCTCTTCTCTCCGCCACCTGGAATTATTTCCCTTCCCTCACTCCTCCTGTATCACTGTTGCAACTGCTGTTCGCTTCAGGGGAGCTATTCAGCAATGATGCCACTTAGGACAATCAAAAAAAATCAAAATGGTGCTCTTTTAATTATATTTTCATTATTGAAAAAAAATCATGTATTTGATTAGTGAAGAAAACAAAGGTAAAACTTTAGATTCAAGTTGTGAGCTTGGCTGATGACAGTGTATTAACCTCCTGGGGCTGTCATCAAAGAATCTGTAAGGATTTTCCCGAGGCAAGACAGAGACCCAAAGGAAGCCCTGATTAGAGGCCTCAGTTCGCCTCCTTGACACAGCTGTGCTGGTGGATGACAGCAAGGCCAAGGGGTATCTTTCCACTTAGTGATAATTCTAGCTTTGTAAGTATTCACTTTGTCTCCTAAGAGTGCCCAGGGATGTCTGGGTGGTCAGGCAGACTGGACAACTCTGGATTTCTCACGTTACAGTTCTTACCTCTGAGGCTCCTGTCAGCCTAATGCTAGACTCTGACTGAACTCTCCCTGGTCTCTAGGACATCATAAACCATTAATAAGAAGATGGACTAGAAAGGAGATAGAAGGGAATTCCTCAGTGCTGGCAGGAAGAAAAAAAAAGGGTCTACATTTTTTTGGTTTTTCTGAAACAGGGACTTGCCAAATTGTCCAGGCTGGCCTTGATCTCACAATCCTCTAGTCTCTGCCTCTCAAATGTGGGATCAGGGGCTGGGGATTTAGCTCAGCGGCAAAATGCCTGCCTGGCAAGCGCAAGTTCGTGAGTTTGGTTCCCGGTACCGGAGAAAAACCAAAAAAAAAAAAAAAAAAAAACAAAACCAAAAAAAATGTGGGATCAGAAGTATCTGTCACTGTGCCCAGTTGAGCCTATGTTTTTTTCTTCTTTATAACCCAAAGATAATGTACATTCCAGTGTGACAGTGCCAAGCACTTGCCATCACTGTATCTGTCTCAGAACAAAACTAAAATATGTATTTTGCAAGGAATGTGCAAATTTTTATATTCCAATTTTCTTTTTCTGAGAAAATATCAATTTTATAAAAGTAATGCATCCACACTTTCAGAGAGGAGTATATACATTCCATTTTTGGAATGTTTTACTTTGAATCTTACTGTCATCCTCTCTCAAATGATTTCCTTCTAGGAAAAATATACAGAAAATCAGTAGTAATCCACCTCAGTTGGTTCAGAACCATAGGATCCAAACTATAACTGAAGTTATATAAAAAAGGAATAAACCCATACTTTACAGGCCCTATTTATCAAAATAATATAACTTCTCATTTTTGAGTAAAGGAGCTATCTATCACCTACAGCAAACTCCCTAGGACACTAGGCTGGTTATACTGTATATATAAACAACCAAAAAGTTCAAACCAAGTTTGGAAGTAGGAGTCCCTTCCCCAGTGAGCCGCAGCTGCCCTGCCAGGAACCTTAGCTTTTAGAGGATCCCAAATCCTTAGAACATCTCAGCCCTAGGCAGGTCCCGATGGGAGAGAACAGGCAAGGGATTCGGGAAGAATGGTGTTTTTCAATCCCAACCACCCAAGGGGATGTTATAAAATCCGATTCTTAATTTCTTCACCTAGAAAACAAAGATAATAGAAACTACCTTGTAATAATGTTTCAAGGATTAGAGAAAATGTATGCTTATAAACTGTTATAACTGGTTTGCCTATATTATTTTTTATGCTATGCTATAGAGATCCTACTGCACTTAAAACAAAATGCATTATTTGAAAATAACTATTTGCCTGTGGGTATTCAGGATGGCTGGACACTGGAAGTGAGGAATTTGGTTCCCAGCATTCTCCCTTCCTTCCTGTCCCAAGTCCACTTCATCTCACTGCTATGGCATCTATCTCAAAGGGGAAGGCCAAGTGCCTAAGTTTATATGGTTCCCATATATTCGTTCCTTCTTCCCTTTTTTTTTTGGAGATAGGGTCTCACTTTGTAGTTCGGGCTGACCTTGAACTCACTATGCAGTCCCAGGCTGGCCTCAAACTCACAGCGACCCTTCTTGCCTCCATCTCCTGAGTGCTAAGATTACAGGCATGTGCCACCATGCCTGGGTCCTTCTTCCCATTTCTTTCAGGGCCAGTTAAGAGATAACTAGATGGAGAATGCCTGGTTCATTTTATTGATTTGCAAACCAGCAATAGAGCTACCAGTAAAAGCAGACTAGGAAGAACCATATCATACTAATGAGCCAGGTTGAATTTTATATTTCCAAACACAAAGGCAAGAAAAATCTTTTGCTGTTGAGAAGTTTATCTCCAAACTGCCCAACCTCAGTCAGGCATGGTGCCGCATGCCTGTAAGTCCAGCACTCGGGAGGTTGAAGCAAGAGGATTGCTTCGAGTTCAAGGCCAGCGTGGGATACACAGTGAGTTCAAAGCCAGCCTGAATGATATAGCAAAACCCTGTTTCAAAAAACAAAACAAAACAAAAAACCAAATGTCCATCCCCTACCTTCTCTGAGTTAAGTGACAACCTTTCACCTGCTAGTTGTGACAAATTGTAATTTCCAATATTTAAGGAAAGAAATTGGGGGAGGAGAGGCAGGTTAGGGCCCTGGGGATTGAACCCAGGGCCTTTGCACTGAGCTGTATTCCCAGCCCATTTTATTTTATTTATTTATTTATTTTTTTGAGATAGGGTCTTGTTTAATTGCCCAAGTGGGGCTTCAAGTTGTGATCTTCCTGCTTTAGCCTCCCGGAGTGCTGGAATTAAAGGTGTGTGCCAATGCACCTGGCTCCTGGCCCACTTCTTAAATTTTTATTTTGAGATGATGTCGTGATAAGTTGTCCAGGTGAGGTTCAAACTTGTGATCCTCCTGCCTGAGCCTCCCAGAGCACTGAGATCACAGGGAAGCAACACCACATCTGGCGAGGAAAGGAGATCTTATTCACAAAAAGACAGCTCCACCCAGTAACCTCCAGTCATAAAGCAGGTACCCGGCAGGCAACTTTTGAACATGATAGTAAATAATTTACATAAACCAAAACAGCATTAAGGAGTCATGATTAGCTATGGTAAGAGATCCGCTTCTATAAGACCACCGCCACATCTCTCTGCAGAGATCCTGTACAGAGCCTCTTTGGTGCTTGTACAGTCCTTACCTGACAGTCAAAGTCCTGGAAGTTTCGTGTACCATTCTGTCAACAGAAGGCAGAAAACACAGTCAGTTTCCCCATGTGGTTTCCCCAAATTCAGTTCACAGTGAAAGCGGTGCAGGTGCAACCTCTTGATTGCCATTAAACTAAAATTGTTCTCAACAGGCTTCGGAGGAAGAGTGGGTTACTGGCATGTTAGTACAGGCTACATCATCAGAGGTGAGATTATGCTTTGGTGGGCTTAATTTGAAAATAAAGGGGAGGAACCTAGTTTCTTAACAAAGCTTGTAACTTTGTGCCTCCCTACCAAAGAGCAGTGAGGATTTATGGGAAGAGGGGGCAATGTGGACCAGTCTCAGCACACCCTCAACACCCAGAAGGAAAGGCATGAGAAGCCAACTCTGACGGGGTAAAGAGGAGCAGAAGCCAGGGTGCTGAGACCTGGGAATTAAAGAAAGGATATGAAAGAAGACGATGCCGTGGACGGATCAGAAAAAGAAGGCATGACATCTAAATAAGAAGAAAAGCAGTGTTGCTGAAGGAGGGAAAGGAGGACAGAATAAGATGCCCCACACACTGGCACATCTGTTGCACCCTATACAACTGGTGACAGAAATAAAAAAACAAAGCCGAGAGTGGTGGCGCATGCCTGTAATTCCAGTACTGGAGAGGCTGAGGCAAGAGGATCACTGCGACTTCCAGGCCAACTGGGTCACATAGTAAACTGAAGGTCAACCTGAACTATACTGCACTCTTATCTCAAAAAACAAAAACAAAAACCACAAATCACTGCATCATTTTAAAAGTGAACACAAAGCCAGGCACAGTGACACATGACATAGCCCCAGCACTTGGGAGACTGAGGCAGGAGGACTGCCATGAGTTTGAGGTCAGCCTGAACTACATAGTAAGACCCTGTCTCAAAAAAAAAAAGAAAAAGAAAAGTGAACACAAGACTGAGGACAGGGGCTGGGGATTTAGCTCAGCGGCACAGCACCTGCCTGGCAAGTGCAAGGTCGTGAGTTTGATTCCTGGTACCGGAAGGAAAAAAAAAAAAAAAAGACTGAGGATGTAGCTCAATGGTAGAAATGGTAAAGCATTTGCCTAGCACGCCCAAGGCCCTGGGTTCAATCCCTAGGACTACCTACAATTAAAAAAAAAAAAAACAGTCAAAAGATCCAAGGAATGTTCACTATGCTCCTAAAAAAGGGATTATATGAAGTAATGTTTAACTGAGAAATAAAGTCAATGGTGATAACTTAGAGGCATTTCTGCAAAAGTATGACGTAAGAATACAGAAAAGGTAATGACTGATGGATGTGTTTGAGAAGAAAGAAAGCAAACTTCTGACTTGGTTTTTCACCAAGTATAGGGCCTCCTTGAAAAAAATCCTCTCATTATTCGAACTGTTTTTATTTTTTTGTACCAGCAATTGAACTCAGGACCTTGCACCTGCCAGGCAGGTGCTTGTGCTGCTGAACTATATCCATAACTAGAAACCATTTTATTTTTAAATTAAGAGAAGACAATTTATTTGAAGGTGGAGAAAAGTGGGGGAAGAGAGAAAGACATGACAGATAGCTACTCTGGACAAGTAGGGAGGCTTCAAAAGTGAAATACTCCTAGAAACTTTTTATTTTTTTGTCGTTTTGAGACAGGGTCTTGCTATGCAGTTCAGGCTGGCCTAGGCTGGTCTTTGTAGCCCAGGCTGGTCTTGAACTGGCAACGATCCTCCTGCCTCAGCCTCCTGAGTGCTGGGATTACAGGTGTGCACCACCACACCCTGCTCTAGAAACTTTTATCAAGACATATTTATTATTTTCCACTATGGCTTCCAGAAAGTGTGGAGCTACTAATAAGCAACATCCCAAGAGTTTCCCCCACAGAGAAGCTCTAGGTATCTGACCCTGGGAGAATACTAAGTCCCATTCCCCTTCAAGAAATTCTTATAACAGTTCTTCCTCATCCCCGTCCCCTCCCCAAACACTGGAAGGACAAAATAGAGTTTTAAAGGTACAAAGGCTCAAAGAAACAGCCTTCCTCAGGAGAACTAGTAGAACCAGCTGGCATGATCTCTTGACCGGGACCACTCAGTATGATGAGCCATCAGTCCCCAGGGTACAATGTAAGTTTAAAAATCCAGTTTTTCTGTTGCATGAGCCACATCTGGAGTGCTCATATCATTGGGCAATGCAGTTAAAAAAACATTTATTTACTTATTTATTTATTACTGCTTTATTTTGTTATTTTGAGACAGGGTCTCGCTATGTAATTCAGGCTGGTCTCAACCTTAGGGTGATGTTCTGCCTCAACCTCCTAAATGCTGGGATTACAGGCGTGCACCACCACACCAAGCTAACGTATCATTCTTGACACAAAACTGAACTTATATAGGGCATGGTGGCACACACCTCTAATCACAGCTTTCAGGAGGCTGAACCAGGAAGATCGTGGCAAGTTTGAGGCCAGTCTGAACTATATATAGCAAGACCCTGCCTCAAAAAAGAAAAAAAAAAAATTGAACTCACAAAACTAAACTCTGGGCCAGGTGTGGTGGCACACACCTATAATCCCACCCCCCTGGGAGGCTGAGGCAGGGAGATTGCTGCCCATTTGAGGCCAGCCTGGGCTACAAAGTGAACTCAAGGCCAGCCTGAACTCTGTAATGAAACCCTGTCTCAAAAAAACAAAAACAAAAAAATCTGCTGCAGTCAATACATGGAAACAAAACTAAGACACTAAGCAGATGGCGGTTGGGGAAAAGGACCATGTTCTGTGGCTCCCACTAGCCCCATGAAATGTCTAAGAAATTCTTCAGAGAAGTGACTGAGTTTAATTTCCAGTTAGACCATGAGAAACAGAGGGCGGGACCCCTCATTAGAGGACTAGGGTAATTAGTACGAGTAGGATACAAAGGATCACAGGTGAGTTTCCTGTTCCTGATTCCACTTGTACCTTTTTCCAAATATAACACAGAGCCTGTTATAAATCAGGTGCTTGATACAGAGTTATAAAATGAACAAACCAACATAGAAGAATTAAATGTTGAGAGATTTTTGTTAAGATTTTGGGCTGAAATCAAACTCTATTGCATTCTAGTTTATGATATGGTAAGTCAGACATGGCAGCGCACACCTGTAATCCCAGCACTTTGGGAGGCTAAGGAACAAGGATCACAGATGTGAGCTCAGCCCAGGCAACTTAGTGACTTAGAACCCCTATCTTAAAATAAAAAGGGGATGGGGATGTAGCTTGTGTAAAGGCTCTAAGTTCAATCCCCAGTACAAAAAAAAAAAAAAAAAGAAAAAACAAAACATATTATGGTTATCAGGTGAGAAAAATAGGATACAAAATGGTCTTTATAATTTGATCACAATTACATTAAAATATGCATTAAAAAGGCTGGAAGAAAAATACTAAAATATTAATACTAGCAGTTATCTTGTATAAAGAAATTGAGTGATTATAGTTTTCTTTATATTTTTCTACAACAAGCATGTATTTTCCCTTCTACAATTAGAAAGTTAGAAAAAAAAAAGGTTTGGTACAGTATTAAAAAATGTCTGTATTTTAATACTTTTATTTGTTTTTTTTTTTTTTAGATAAAGTCTCACTATGTAGCACAGGTTGGCCTTGAACTCTTGGAGATCCTCTGGCCTTAGCCTCCCAAGTGCTGGGATTACAAACATGAGCCACCATGCCCGGCTTGCAATTTAATACTCTATAATATGAGATTCACTTCATTTTTTGAGATATGATTTATAATCATGTTGAAACAGACCACATTAGGGCTTCAATCTAATAGATTCCCAGAGGTTCCTTTAGAGATTATTTTAGAAAGATTAAAAAAAGAATCACTCTAATGTGAACTAAAATCTTGCTCATGGAATACAGAGCCACCAATTTTGATGAGCTCTTCGGGAAACAGATGTCACTTTATGCATGAATTCCTCTTCCTCGTAATCACGTGACCACAGCCATGAGGCACTTTTTGAGACAGGAATCTCTGAAATGAGTGCAAGGGGAAATGCCAAACCAGAAATAGGCAGTTCCTTTCACAAGGCAGCTATCTTGCTTCTCCAGTACCTAGCAAAAAGCAGCTGCATGACCTCAATCCCACGTGCCCAGGCAGACTCCCAGGTAAAAGGCACGGATAAGTGGGGGAGGGGGGAACGATGACGACAATAAAACACTTGTTTTCTTGGCTCCTTTTTTTTTTAAAGAGATGCCAGGCCCTCTTGGAAAATGCTTTTAAGTGATCAACGTGGGAAAAGCACACAAGCAGGTCTGTTTGCAGTGCTTGGCATCCACACACTCCTCTCTGAAAGGAGATGGTTATTTTAGCCTGACTTAACTGTAGTTACCAAGGCTGTGTTCTCAGTTCTTTACCAAAATTCACTACTATTCTCTGGGTGCACTTCAGGAAGTGTCCTATGGCCCCTGCCCTTGACGCTTGTTTGTCTGTGATGTTCAAAGTACATTGTTCCCCTCTATACTAAAACCAGAAATTACAAACCGCGGATGCTTTCTTCTTCTTTCCCTTTTGTAGATACCCTGGGTTCAGCTGTTGGGGAGGGGAGAAATCACAAGCCCAGAAAGCTTCAAAAATCACAAACCAATGAAGAAAGGTATGTAGAACACAAAAGGATGACAGGGAGGAACAAGTAATTGCTAGGGAGAAAGGGGTCAAGTCAATAGGCATACACAGGTTTGAAAGATGGAAGCAACAGACATAATGTAAAGAAGAGGATACTTAAGACCTCAGGACCAGCTGACCATGGCAAAAAATATGAAGAGAATCGACCTGTTCTGTGAATTCACAGTAGGGGTCAGTGTCTGACTCACCACTCTATTTCTGGTCTGACGCTAAGCGAATGGAACAGTATCATTTTGGGAAGGCTATGAATACTGCACAAGGGGGACGTTAGAGCTGAGTAAGACACTCAGCACCAAAGAGGAAAGGAACTAAAGTGGGAAAAACAAGTTATTACAACAGTAAAGATTTTAGAAATTAGCTGATTTTTTTTTTTTTGAGACAGGGT